CACTCAGTTGCTGTTAAGAAGGACCAGAGTTTTTCCCGAGTTTTTCCGGAGTGCAGAGACAAAAAGATTAGGAGCTATGCCTGACCCAGACCAGAACGAGTGCGTGCTAGTGTGCGTGAGTGAGCAGTTTCGCCATCGAGGGCGAAACTGAAAACGCGAGATACTTCACAGCAAAGACTGACTTTTCCGCAACTAGGGTGCGAGCGTTTTTTTACTTTCGTGCTACCGTACAACTGCTAACAAGGTAAGCTGGCCAGCTTAATTTCGCGATCGCTACGTAATTGACGATAACTAATCTCTCGTACATCATAAGAAGCATGCATGTAATAACTCGGCGAACAAAGAGCGGCGAACGATCCGACACTGCATGTTGTTGTTGCGCGCGCGTCTTGTAAACATAAATACGCGGGCCGAACACAGTGTAGAATTTAGAGGAAATAAACAATCTCGTATGTGATATTAACAGTATTTTCGATGTATTTATTTCACGTTAGTAGATAGTTGGCTGAATGACACCCGTTCCCTCCTGCTCTCCGATTTTCGAATTGGAACATTCAGGTAATCACGCGCGCTTTTCTATGCGATCGCGCGCTTAAAATAAAAAGACGGTATTAACCCCGTTACATGGCGCCCAACGTAAAAGAACCTAAGGCGTTTATGATTATTCAAAACGCCGGTTCTAAATATTGTTCTAAACAGAATAAACATCGCTTCTCTGTTAGTTAGCTTGCGAAGGCCCGCCGCAACGATAAATTGGAAACAGTCGCTGTAAGCGTGTGCGAGTGCGACCGAACGACTCTTAGCCAAGCGTAAACACCAATAAGTTTTGAAAGTTGCCGCAAATAAATATTGTACCCGTTGACCCAGGGAAAACTAACACCGGCAACATTCAAACAAAAGAAATTCAAATTGGTAATTTTATTTGATATCGTGTCGTCTTAACAGTTATATTTCACATGTTTACAAATCAAAATATTTGAATAAAATTATATGATAAGTGACATAAATACTTACGTAGTAGACAAAAACTTTTCTTCTTGTTCTGTACTATATTTTCGTGTTCGGGAAATTTGTATGTAAATATAGAAATAAGTTTATTTATAAATCCAGCACTATAAAAAAACTTTAACTTTTTAAATACTTGACTTTTCTTCAACTACTATGAATAATGAAATATGTATCGGTTGTCTTATTATCGTAAGGGGCGTAGATATGATATAACTTATTTTCATCGAGCCATTGATAAGACAAAATTGTAAATAAGATAAAGTGTACAGCAAAGTAAAGTACCAACAAAAAGTAAACTAAACCACAAGTGAAAATTGAAAAAAGTAAACAGTTTATAAGTATAGGAATTGAGACTATAATAACTATTTATAACTATTATTATAATCAATTATTTGTTATAATTTTTTTTCTCATTGACAAATTGTAAATGATTAAAAAAGAAATAATAACTATATTAAACTTCCACTTTTGAAATTAATAGTTTTTAACTGTTATTACTTGTTATTTTTCTTTATTATGAATTAACTTTACGTTTAAAAAATAATAACTATTATTATTACTCTTTTATACACAGCTATACGAGTATGTAATACAATGCAAATAATATTTTTAAAAAAACTGATACTATAACTGTTATTATTAATTCCGAAAAAACATAATAGTTAATAATTATTTATAATTTATTTTAGTCTCAAATCTGATATTTATAAGCCGTTATTAATTATTTTTATCTTTTTTGTATTTATAATGAAAAGAAAATAATAATTATATTATATAAAATTTGTAATACTTAGGACATATTGTTATGCAACATGAATGTTATTCAAGAAATACATTTATTTTTCGCTATTTATATAAGGTTAGCCCGCATGTAGTTCGGTAAGGGTGGTTTATAAAGGTGGGGGTTAGATAGGTTAGGGGTAGGTGGATAAGAGGTATGTGATTCAGCTGGGATAACTCGCTTATGGTGTAAAATTCAATTATTTCAAGAAATAACAAACGACTAAAGTTGGTTTTCCCAGGATTAGGTGGGTTAGCCTGCATGTGGTTCGGTAAGGATGGTTTATGGGGGTTTGGTGGGTTAGAGGCAGGTTCGTTAGTTGAGGTAGCTCGCTCATGCATAGGATTAAATTATTTCAAGAAATAACAAACGACTAAACTTGTTTATCCCAGGCTTAGGTGGATTAACCTGCTGATAGTTTGACGGGAGTGGTTTCTAGGGAGTGAAACACCCCTTAAATATATTTTTTTTTAAATCCGAAAACACGTCAATTTAATTTTGGTATTTTCTCATTATCAGTGCGATTTTTAAATCACTCGAGCTCATTTACTATATTGCATGTCGTAAAACAGTACAAAAAATAGTGTATTTACCCCTATTAAAAAGGGCGTTGCAACCCTTCGGTATAAATGTTATGTCCTTAAAAGCGCCTCTTTATACGGAATTTTTTAACGTTGAGTTTACTGAAAAATATTCATTTGATGCTGAGAAATATTAGAAAAACTGATTTTAGGGGTTGATTTTCAGGGTGGATTTCACCCCTTAAAAGCCTTTATGGGCCGATAAAAAAAAACACGTATCTAATTTTTTTTCAAGTACTACAACATATCCCAAAATCATTTAAATCGGTGAAGTCGGGTTAGGGTGGTTGCCTTGTAAGTAATTATATATAGGTACACACAGGTAGAGAGCAGAGATGGCTTGGCTTTTTAACTTCAATATGTCCAATGGCCTCCTGTAACTAACACGCTTGCTATCGTGAAACGCAATATCTTCTTTCTGCATTTCTATTGATTGCTTTATAGTGGGTACTTCGATTTTATCAATGATTTTCATTGAAAAACAGGTTGGTGTAAGAATTAAAAAAATACGAGGTTTTGAGAAGTTTATTTTAAAAGAAAAAGCAATAATTTTTGAAAAGCAATATTGTTTTCTATCCATAAATAATAATAAAATTTGAAATTTGACGAGTATTTTTAAAAAAGCTAGACCCTGATATCGATTTTGTTTTTCGAAATATCAGTTTTCAAAAAATATTTATATATTTTTTTCAAAAGTTAATAACTTTGGTTTTCATGAATATTTTATATCTCAAATTTATATAGTTGACTATCAATTGTACAATGGTTTACGTTATAATTTGTTTCGTATTTGTTATTGCAATAAGTGGAATTTGAACATACAAGACTGCCACTATTGCACTTATCAACTATGATATTGCTCAAGCATATAGGCACGTAGCTTTGTTTCTACACTGGTACTAACAGTAAAATAGAGAGCGTTACGTCTTTTTTAAAATCAATGATGTTCACTTCATTGTAAATGAACTTGTTGAAAGCTCTGAAGTCCCGTATATCCCCGATGTGTTTTAAGATTGCGACTGTGTTGAACCGAGCAATAGATTACTCTTTATATACAAATGCACACTTTCTATTTTTCTCCTGTGTTAACCTGTCGCAGGGTTAGCAAGATATAGCATCCTAACGTTAACCTGTCGTGGTGCTAGTAAGTCATAGCATCTTCACGTTTTCCTGTTGTAGGTTATTACGAGATCACTTACCAATACACTTGGGTTATAGCACACTTAGGTTAAGCCGTCGTGGGGTATAGCAAACTTAGATCAACCTGTCGTAGGTTTAGAAGGGTATTGTATACTTAGGTTAACCTGTTGGGGGTTGAGCAGGTTATAGCGCATTTAAGTTAACTTGTCGTGGATTACAGCGTTCAATGCGTCATGCAATTTTAGATTAGAATAATCTAAAAAATAAAGTTCATGAAGCAAACACATTGACATTATATTCGGATCAATGGTCCTAGAACACATAGTAGTTAATATCACTTACTGTCTAAAAATATTCCGTTCATTTTATAGCTGATATATGAAATTATTAAGATGCTCAACTTCATTTTACAATATCTCCGAAGAAAAAAATCGTATTCAAAAAGTAAAAAATGGATTTTAAAGGGTAAAAATAGTACTTTAAGAAACTCTTCTCTTAAAGAAATATGAAAAATTATTTATTAGTATTAGCAACAACCGCTATCTTGTTTAATGTATTATTTCCAATTAAAAGAAAAAATTTTTCGTAGCGATATGAGCACATAGCAATAACGAATATTATGACTGCTATACTTTTCTTTTATATTTTTCAGACAGCGAGAAAGAGAATACGAATTGATGGATCTTTATTCGTATTATTGTTTTTTATAGGGGCTATATGTAATTAAAAAGTTATTGATTTGTTAGTGTTGGAATATTACGATAGATCGGAACAACAAACACTTTTAATTAGATATATATATATGAAACTATACAAATGATTTATTCTAATGTTACAGCAGTCTCTAATTATTATTACAAAGTAAGTCACAACTCAAAAAGGTGAAAAATAGCAAAATGAATAAAAAGGAAGTTGCAGAGCTCCGCGTCGCAGCGAGGGCACGGTTGGAATGCAGCACTAGTGAGGGCGGCAGTGCAGCAAAGTGAAGATGGCGTGGTGAGTGCCCGCGCACATGCGCACAGTATTTCGAACAGTTAGAAATTCCAAGTCGTCTAATTTTCTCACCTTAATGTAGTAATTATGGCGCATGCGTTCTGAGTATTACTACTGCTTTGCTATGGGGATAATCGTTTTTGTCAATTATTTATTATTAGCATTAAGAATTTTTGAAGAGTAAAGCAGGTTTAATTAAGATTAGCCAAGGTACAGTTCTTTTGATTATTTACTTGATTAAAAATATTGGTTATTTATCAAAATATAGCTGTTGAAAGATCCCTTAAAAAATGTATAGTTCATTAATTTTTTTTAATGAACTAAAAAAGTGCATTTCAAGTTACTAACACATTTGGAGGGTGCAGTTAGAGATATTTCGACTGATATATTTTTTTTTTAATTTAAATAGTTTGCCAGATGAGCTAAGGTTGGTCTTAAGCTCTTCCATAAGAACTTGTTTTATATAAGTATCTATATTCGTTGCTTTTAATATAGTTTGTATCTGTATTTGTATGATTGTAAATTAATACAGATATCGCTGATTGATCCTCAGTGAAGCGATATTATTCTTAAATATTCGCCGAGAGGTTCAGAAGTCATAGTAAAATTTTATCGACTAAAAAGTTTCAAGAATTTTATTAAAATGGTACGTTATAACTTTTGTGTTAAATATTTGAATACTTGTATTGAGGTTATCCCGAACACGTGTTATCTGTCTAATTCATGCTTCCAACAATTTAAAATATTTTTATAATTAGAAAATATAATAAGTATCAATACTCAGTGGCAATAGTAATTTATTAAAAATATTATTGTTGATTAGCAGAATTGTTTCATTTTTTTATTTTATAATTATGTTTATTGTAGATAAAAATAAAATTGACATATTTTGTTTGAAACTGAGGATATAATTGATTTTATTGTATTATAAAATTACTATGTCTATTATATAAAACCATTCATTTAATATATTGTATTGTTATAGACTGAGGATGTAAATCCTAAGGCTTATCCACTAGCTGATGCTACACTCACAGCTAAAATATTGAATTTAGTTCAACAGGCAATGAATTATAATCAACTTAAAAAAGGAGCAAATGAAGCTACTAAAACTCTTAATCGTGGCTTGTCTGAATTTATCGTTATGGCTGCAGATGCTCAACCTTTAGAAATTTTACTCCATTTACCATTATTATGTGAGGATAAAAATGTACCTTACGTATTTGTAAGAAGTAAACAAGCTCTTGGAAGAGCTTGTGGAGTATCAAGACCAGTGGTTGCTTGTTCCGTCACGGTTAATGAAGGTTCACAGCTGAAACCACAGATTCAATCTATACAACAAGAAATTGAGCGTCTTTTAATTTAAAAATCGCCATTTATTTTTTATTTTATCTTGTTCATGTGTACTTTATGACAAAAATATAATCTTATCACTATTTTGCTTTGATATATTTCTTTATAATTTAAACTTCACATGATTGTGAATTTCATTATTGATGAATCAATAAGTATAAAAATTATGCTGAAAACTGCTCATAGTGTATCAAAATTATTTGTATTTAAAATATTAATAGTTGATATCTTGACTTATATCAATTAATTCAAAATAGTGAAAAACTAGTATAATTATGATAATTTGCATTATATATGTATACACAACACCGTTAAGTTTGCCAACTGTTTCTTTAACTTGTTTATATTTTTATATTGGGTTAATTTTTTAATTGTTATCATAATTGGAGTAAGTTGTAATAAACTGAAGTTAAAATCAGTGTCATTCCAATTGATCGCAATCATTGAATGAAATGTATGCACTTATAATATTTCAAATATTCTTTTGATTCTCTGTGCAAATTAAAATTTGTAATACCATTTTGTTATTAAATGTTTATCCATCTGTTTGATCATCCCAATGGATCAATCAATATCAATATATCAGAGTCTTTCATAAACTTAGAAATTATAGTACTACATTGTTCATTTATAATTAAAATGTTATTACAAGTGTAGCAATCACCGATAAGGATTATCTGTAACATGTTATTCTGTAATTTTAGTTCTTGGTTATAAATTACTTGTTAAGTAGTTTGACTATATGGTTTTAAATGAAGATTATAGTTTCTTTTCAAAGGTACAAGGAATTTTTAATGCTCTTTGGAGCATGGTAAGGAAAGTCCTGGGGAAGATTTTTGTGTTGAGAATGTAGACTTTTTATTAGTAGAATTATTGTGATGTGTATGAACTTTTGAAAGAATAGATAGTTTGTTAGTTGAGTTATCAAATTTGAGAGCAACAAGTTGTTTGATGTTCTAAAAGGAATCTTTGATATACGCAACTTCTTTACAGACAAACAAGTTTTATAACTCTGAATAGTTGGGTTGCTTAGATTTAGATTGTTCCAAAGCTTTGAATTCTGTTTTAATTTACTAAATTGATTTATTTTTATGAAGATTCTAAGAATTATTTTTGCAAATCTTCTAAGATGGCAACTTTTATTGATAGCTATATGACCATGTTCATAAGAGTTGATATAATCTTGCTAAAACAAGGACATTCAACCGAATTGAAAATTCAATCTGCTTTAAGTCTATTTCTGAATCCTACAAAGGACAATTGAAATTCATTAAATTTAAAATAATTTTCAATCACTTCAATGTTTTTTTATTCTGAAATTAATGTTACATATTATAATAATTAATTTCAGGATATAGAAAAATATTAAAGGGGATTCAGATCGATTGCACTTTATAATGAATTTAAATTGTGATTTTTAGAATATAGAAATAGATTCCAAGCGAATTGGATTTTCAATCCAGCTGAATGTCCTTGTTTTAAGGGAGTACCACATTGAAAGGACCCTGGCAGAAAAATGATTGATTTAAAAAAAAATTTATATATACCATTAGCTTCGTCTTGATTTGTACCATCCGAAAATTCATTTTTTGGAATTTGTACCCTCCCCAAAATTAAAAAAAAAAAGCGAAAAAAACGATATTGCGGAAAACTCATACTCCTGGCAGAAAAATGATTGATATCATAAAAGAAAAAAATACCACTAGTTTCATTTTAATTTGTACCATCAGAAAAATGCTTTTTTAGAATTTGTACCCTCTCTAAAAATAGAGAAAAAGAAGATTTTCGTAGGGTAGATTAGCAATTCAAATTAACGTATTACTGCGCATGCGCGGCGGAAAATCTATCTTCCGGCAGAAAAATATGCGATTTAAAAAAAAAAAATATATGAATGCCTTCTTCTTAATTTGTACCATCTAAAAAATACATAAAACTAATTTGTATCCTTGTAAAATTTGAATAATACAATGTTTTTGTGCGACTGTAATACTGATAAATTTTACAGGAAAATCTTTTATTTCTTAAGAAAAAAATATATTTCTAGCTTTACCTTAAATTTTACCCACTGAAAATAGTTTTATTGTAATTTTTACACTCTAAAATTTAATTAGACATGTTAATATACAAAGTCCTAAGTTAACGTGTGTTCTTAAACTTCTACATCCAAAAACAGCTGATTACTCGGATGATAAAGTAGGAAACTCTGATAGGAAAAATATTAATTTCCTACAACAAAATACTCCACCAGCCTTGCCTCAATCAGTACTATTTGAAAAATAGTTATTTTGGTATTTGAACCCCTCGAAAATATTGAGAAAAAAATTAATTCGTAGTCTAATTCGACGATTCTAATTTCGTGTCTGCCGCGCTGCGGAAAATCTCTTTTCTCGGCTAAAAAATCATGAAATTTTAATGTATTAGATTATGAATGTCTTCTTCTTAATTTGTACCATCTACGAAATCCAAAAATATAATTTGTACCCCTGTAGAATTTGAATTATACAGCGTTTTTCATAGAAACACAGTAAAATGCAAAAAAATAATATAATTTGTGATCCTGGCTGTAAAATGGTGAATTTTCTTAAAAAATTTTAATAGCTTTATGTCTATTTGGACTATTCAAAATTATCTAAGTTTTCTTTTCTGTACCCCCCAAATTCTAAATCCAAAATTATATTGAAGTTATAAGAGCAGCATTAATACCTATTAATACAGCTGTATTAATTAATAGGAATGGGTTATTTCAGAAAATAACCCATACCTATTAATAAATAAAATTGCGTAAAGTTATAAATAACTTTTGCTATCTTTGTTAACCACGCGCAGTTTTTCTGTAATTCCTTTATTACAGTAGTATTAATTAATAGAAATGGGTTACTTCAAAAAATAACCCATTCCTATTAATGAGAGCAGCATTAATAGGAATGGGTTATTTTCTGAAATAACCCATTCTTTGATAGGAATGGGTTATTTTCCGAAATAACCCATTTCTATTAATACAGCTCATATAACTTTAATATAATTTTGGATTTAGAATTTGGGGGGTACAGAAAAGAAAACTTAGATAATATTGAATAGTCCAAATAGACATAAAGCTATTAAAATTTTTTAAGAAAATTCACCATTTTTCTGCCAGGATCACAAATTATATTATTTTTTTGCGTTTTACTGTGTTTCTATGAAAAACGCTGTATAATTCAAATTCTACAGGTGTACAAATTATATTTTTGGATTTCGTAGATGGTACAAATTAAGAAGAAGACATTCATAATCTAATACTTTAAAATTTCACAATTTTTCCGCCGAGAAAAGAGATTTTCCGCAGCGCGGAAGACACGAAATTAGAATCGTCGAATTAGACTACGAATTAATTTTTTTCTCAATATTTTCGAGGGGTTCAAATATCAAAATAACTATTTTTCAAATGGTACTGATTGAGGCAAGGCTGGTGGTGTATTTTGTTGTCGGAAATAAATGTTTTTCCTATCAGAGTTTCCTACTTTATCATCTGAGTAATCAGCTGTTTTTGGATGTAGGAGTTTAAGAACACACGTTAACTTAGAACTTCGTATATTAACATGTCTAATTAAATTTTAGAGTGTAAAAATTACAATAAAACTATTTTCAGAGAGCAAAATTTAAGGTAAAGCTAGAAATATATTTTTTTCTTAAGAAATTGTTAAGCTTCTTGTGCGCATGAGCGCGTACGCATACTACGCCACCTTCACTAAGCTCAACCGCCGCGGAAACTAGCGCGGCATTCCAACAGTGTTCTCCTTTGGTGCAGAGCTCACAACGTATTTAGAGTAACTTTAGAGATTCAACTATTGTAATAGATATTAAGAATAAAGAATTTTGTACTTTCTATTTTAATTAAAAGGCTGGTGTCTATATTAATTTTCGTCGATCCATAAATCCAACAGAAATAAAAGATTTTCCTGTAAAATTTATCAGTATTACAGTCGCACAAAAAACATTATATTATTCAAATTCTATAAGGATATAAATTAGTTTTATGTATTTTTTAGATGGTACAAATTAAGAAGAAGGCATTCATATATTTTTTTTTTTTAAATCGCATATTTTTCTGCTGGAAGATAGATTTTCCGTCGCACATGCACAGTAATACGTTAATTTGAATTGCTAATCTACCCTACGAAAATCTTTTTTTTCTCAATCATTTTCAGATGGAATATTATTATTAATCATCTTAAAATCGAGGCTAAACTGATACTGATGAAATATGTTTAAATGTAATTTTATAATTTTTATTTACATAAAAAATTTTGAATAAATTTATGGTTCACCAGATTTATGGAAATGAACGTATAATTTTAAGTATAAAAACCTCTTCCTGATATTATTTTTTTAATAACAAACATATAATTGGTTTTTTTAATATAAAGATTAGATACGAGCGAAATATCTCTTTATTATTTTTTTAATGTTATTCTGTATATATTAATCGCAACTTTTTTTTAATAGACATATTGTAACGGGGTAAAACCGTTTAATTATATTTTATTCGCGCTATTAAATAAAAGGGGCGAATGTAATTATCAATGCTCGAAATGTAGTCCGGAGAGCATGTGAAGACAGGCGCCAGTCAACCAATAATTCTTAATAACCTATAATCAATTGAGTGGAAGCTGTAAGGTGTGAGCGAGTCGGAAAAACACTTGTTAGTAATGCGGACTAAACCTTTTATTATTCCTCAAATACTACACGAAGTCGGCCCGCGCGTTTGTTTACATCGACGCTCGCTCATCGACAACGTACAATGTCGGGACGCTCGCTGCGTTTTGTCAATATCGCTATTACATGCACGCTTCGGAAACGATACTTTATTTGTTAATCATGCAACCGCGATCGCGAGATTAAGCTGGCCAGCTTACCTTATTATCGCAGGCGTACGGAGAAAGCGATAGATTCACACACTGCGCGGAATTGTTTTCGTTCGTTTGTCGCTGGTCGCGAATGCGCGCACACACGGTTTCGCCCTCGGCGGCGAAACCACATATACTCTGCCGGTCTCCTGGAGGTTTGCGCTTCCTCGCTGGCTCAGGTCTCTCCCCTGGGCTGC